ACAGCCACAGGCAGGGAGGAAGGGAGGGGTCCGGGAGACAAAGCAGAAAAGCATTCTGGGAGGCAGCAGGTGTGGGGAGAAGACAGGATGCTGTGGGCATCTGAGAATAATGCAGAGGCAGTAAACGGTCTGTAGAGCCTCCACCTATTTGGATACAATTTCCTATCACACTACCTTTGTACCTAATTACTCCAGTTTTGTCAAAAAAAGAAAGCAAAATGAGCCTCATTTGCTTTGATTCTGCTTCAATTATGAAGTCTTATTTCACAAAGTCACTCTGTGCTGCTTCCTATTTATTCTTTGCTCGGTTGTTGACCCGACTGAATACTCATCATCGATGTCACTTGGAATGTTTTCACCTCGAGATCTGAGTGTCACCCTAGAAGAAACAAGCACCCCCAGTTTGGGCCCCACATACCCCTTTCCTGGTGCTCGCCCCTCCTGTTAGCCCTACACACACACACACACACACACACACACACGCACACTCCTTGTGCGCAGTCCTATTATTCCCTAGGACCGAGGGATGTGAATGTCCCCAACCCTTGGCTATTCGGTTAGAGATTTCAGGTAGGATACCACTGTGACTGCAGGCACAAAGGAAGAAAGGGTCTGTCCATTGTCACTGTAAGACATCACCAAGACAGGCTCACCCATAAAAATGTGCACTCACCATCAGTAAAATGCGCTTGTATCAAACAAGCACATTGCTTGTACAGCTCACGTGAATCAGAGTGCCTGTCCCAAGCACTTAACCTAGATCACACGCAGAGTGACACAGATGGAATGAAAATGGACAGGATGGTTTGCACTTCGGTGGGAAGGTCCTGCTTTGGCCCTCACTCGCCCCACTCTCTTCTCTGCCCTCACCAGTGCGTCCTGGAACAGGCTCCGGGGTCATCGCTGTCATTGTCCTGACTTACACCACTGATTTCCAGCCTCCACACTGATTTCCAGACATTTTCGTGTAATGCTTCCATAGCATCCTGAGGGGTTAAGCTCTTTTCTTCTCTGCTCATCCACTTTCCCAGCTCCCTCCTCCCCGTTATCTTGTGTCCTCAGCAGCTCTTTTCTTCACTGAAGAAGACGAATTTTGCTTCTGATACACACGAGTCATGGAGGCAGAGGGCACTGACGCTCCCACCCCAAGCCTCTGCTCAGTGTAAAGATCCCAGGGTGGGGAGTCCCTCAGGGGCAGAGTGCTTGCTGAGCACAGGGAAGGCCTGGTGTTACTGGGGTTCTGGAGTGTTGTGCTCTTTCCAGCAAGCAGAGCGAGTGTAGGCCAATTAAAGTAGGAAAAGAGATTCGCTCTGCAGAGAGCACAGTGGGGCACTAAGAGACGCTGTGAACAGGGCTGGCATGAAGCCAGCTCCTTCCCACCATTGGCCTGGGCTTGGACAGGCCAAGGACCTCTTCAAGAGGCTGCTCTAGTGTCTTTGACAGTTACCGGCCTGCTCCCCTCCATTCTGGATTGTGCATTGTGATGCCCTTGTGTCCTTGTGCCAACATGGTGCCAGGATTGCAGCCACATGAGGAATGCACAGGGAAGCAGAAAAGAGGCACTGACAGGTCCTGCACACCGGGCTCAGCATTGTTTTCCCATGGTCCCCCTGAAGGTCTCCAGGAAGGAATGGACAGGTGGCATTGGTTCCGCTCGCATAGACCTGGGATGAGACCCTGAGGCTGAGTAACTTGACCCGGCTGCAGCTTCAGTAACTGCGCCGTGGTTTGAGCCAAGCCTGTGGCCTTGACTTGCATGTGCTCCCTGACATCACCTGCTGCCCAGGGGAGCAAGCAGGTGCGCAACTCAGCTGAAGTGTGGCCAAGGATCGGTACTGTTGGAGCCCAGGGAGAAGGCAGGAGATGGTTCTTTTGGGCAGTTAGGAAAACTTGGCAGGGTGACTTGTGTTGAAACGCAGCTTTCAGGATGCAGAGGAGAGCTGTGAAATTGCCCAGTAATCTTCTTGCCCTACAGCCTCTTCCCCAGCGTTTGGGGATGTGTGGGTCACTGCCCCTGGGAGCACAGGGTGGCCTTAGGGGAAGGGATAAGATCAATAATGCTATCACGAAGGAGCCAGGAGCTGGCTGAGCAAGCGCGAAGTGCGGAGGCTGGAGGAGGCCAAGGCGGCTGTGGCCTGGGGCACTGGGATCATAAAGACCCCGGGCAACTCCCTGGCAGGTTTTTTCCATCCGTTTTGTTTTCCCTCGAAACAGGAGGCTCAGGAGTGCTGCTGCGGAGAGGGGGTCGGCCACACTGTCGTCACTCCTCCTCAGGCGGGGCTCAGCCAAAGCAAGAAGGCATTTTGGAACGTCTAGGGGCACAAGATGCGGTCAGGGAGCACATGGGGTCACGTGGACCTGGACTCCAGTTCCCAGGGCCCGAGGCTGAGACCAGAGCAGGCCCTGGTTTGATGGGTGATTTGGAGCCAGGAGTCACAGGCTGTCTGGGCCTTGGCCTGTTGTCAGGCGGTCGCATGGCCCTGGGGGTGTCGGTCCACACCTGCTGCCAGCACGTGGTGGTGTTGGAGCTTGGAGCCATTGTCCTGCAGAGGCTGACACGGTCAGGGCTCGGTCCCCAGGGTGCTGCGACTGCAGTGGGACAGGCTGCAGGAGCCGGGGCCCATGGGAGGCCCCCAGTCTCCGGGGTGTGCCCTCAACTTTGGTAGAGTTTGAACATTCTCAGGTGGGTCCAATGCACAGCAAAGCTTGGGAGCTACCGCCCCGAAGGAAGGTTTTGAGGTCAAGGGTAACTTGTTTTGATCTCACACATGGAATTGAACTTTGACTAAGTTATCACACAAAACCTCCACCTTTTGGTAGGCTGCATTAACCCTGGACAGTGGAAATTACCATGACCCGATATCTATTTTTGGCCAGGGATGTCAGACCTGGAACACATCAGCCCTTTTATCTCATTTGGTGGATAAGTTAACCAGGACTCAGGTTGATTAAGTAAATTTCCCAAACTCACAGATTCTATGAAGACTCAGGCTTGGCACTAGCTCTACCAGGAGTGACAGGCGAGCCTCTGACCAACCTCAAGACCGTGTGTGCTGCCCCTGCAAGTAGGGGCCCAGTGCACCTCATAGTTCTGAGAGAGGAACATGGTGTTAGGGTCCAGCCCAGGCCTGCTCTTCCATGCAGAAGGCCACTACTGCTCTGGAACTTCTCTTTCAGTACAGTTTAGGTCTGGGTCATGGGTTTTAGAATATTAGCTAATTGTGTTATGTTGCCTTTTAACCAAACTTAGGCCTGCCTGGGACCGGGGCCATCTCCTTTTCTGGGATAGCCTCCCTTGGTGCCTGGAGCAAGGAGGAAACACTTCTGTGTGTCTGCACCTGGGCGTAGCGGGGAGGGGCCCCCAGTGCTCGGCCGTGGGAGACAGATAAGCAAGCTTGTGAACCAGGAGGGCTGGGGACAGTCCGGCGCTCCTGGGCGTGTTGGATCCCGTCTTGGGTTTCCTCTCCCCCCTCCCCCCCCCCCGTACTGGGAATCGAACTCATGACCTTGTGCCTATCAGGCAGGCACTGTGCCGCTAAGCTAAATCCCCAGCCCCCTTCGGGTTTCCTTTCCACCCCTGGCTTCCCAGGCTCCAACCCTTGGGACTGTTCGCAACCTGGCGCTGTCTCTGTCTCTCTGTCCCTGCCTTTGGGGCGGGCGTGTCCATTTGCTGCTCTTTGGTGTGAGGTTTGACCCAGGAAGGTTTTCATACTTCGGGAACTGCTGAGCCCCAGGAATGCGTGGTCAGGATGACAGCTACCCACTGCTCTCCTTCTGGAAAATGGCCCCTCACCTTCTGACCCTGGAGGAGAATCTGGCTTCGTCATCATCATCTGTGGGTCCCTGGTGCCCGTCCTCTCTTGGCGTTGGGTGGCCCTGGGCTATCGCAGGACCAGTGACAGAAAGAGCTCACAGTGGGAAACCAGAGGCTACTTCTCATCTGTCACCCCCAAGTGACGTCAAGGAAACGACGCGAGCACTCCCTGCGCAGCGTCTCTACCTGTGAGTATGGAGTGAAGCAGCGCGTTGCACTGAACACAGACACGTCCTGTGAAAGCGCTGAGATTCTCCCCAAAGACAAGTGCTAATAGAAACCAAAGATGGCACCAGCACCTTTGCCCGGGTGACAGGTATTGCCTGCAAAGACAGTCACCCTCCTGGAACAGGGGCTGTACCGCACCCTCCCCACACTCCGCCCACCCTCAGGTCCCTGAGCCCCAGCCTCTGGAGCGGAGAGCAGCTGGGGAATGGACTGGAGGTCCACAAGCTCCTTCCTCATGTCTAGACAGCTGTGTGTTTCCTTGGTCAGGGAGGGGCTGTGTGTGTGTGTGTGTGTGTGTGTGAGTGTATGAGATCAGGTGTGTGAATCTGTGTTCTGAGTGTGTGTGTGTGTGTGTGTGTTTAGTCACAGGCTCAGCTTGTCCCAAGCCATATGGCCCTTCTCCTTTTACTTACTGGGTTCATGCATGACAGGTTATTTTTTTGTGTTTTGGTTGTTTTGAGAACCACACAAAAAAGGGTCTCCACATGTATTCCAGGCTAGCCTTGAGCTCACTATGTAGGCCAGGCTGGCCCTGAGCACACAGCAATCTTCCCGCCTCAGCCTCCCAAGTACTGGGATGACAGGCGTGCATCCCCCTCCTGGAAGGGGGGGTTCTTTGTCAGAGCAGACCATCTCACCTGGATGCTGGCAGGTCACTGGCAGGCGCTCCATACCCCACTGGTACAGGGATGGGACAGCGCGTTGCTCTCCCTGACGCAGAGGAAAGTGAGGCGCAGGTCCCTGCTGAGGCCCGCAGTCTGTGGTGAGGCCCCAGTGCTGGGTCTCTGTGTGCTGGGCGTGAGCCGAGACCAGCCCATGCTTGCTGAGCAAGTGGGGTACAGGGGCAGAGAGAGGGTGCCTTTGAGAAGAAGTGTTATAAATAATATGGAAAAGTAGGCTCCCGGAACCATGGTTTCATTTAACAAAAATGAGCATGTTAAAACGAAAATATGGTTTTTGTTATTTCTTTATAAAACTGTTTTCTTTATATAGTCCCAGCTTCTATCACCGTAAAATAGCTTTGCCGTGATATCAGTGTCTCCTATAAATAAAAGCATGATCCAGTGAGACGGCATTTGGTTTTACAAAAGCTTTAAGAGCAGAGCTGAGGTCAGCAAGCCGTGGAGGGGCGTGTGGGCCATGCGCTGGCAGCAGTGCCCCTCAGAGGAGGCTTCCTGCCCCCTTGGGCTTGGGGACAGTGTCTACATCACCTTCCCCGAGGGCAGCACTGGGCGAGGAGGAAAGGGTCAGCAAACAACATGCACCTTTGGGTGCCTCAGGCTGGATGTGGTTGCCTGACCTCAACTCAATCTGTCGGATTATTTGAATTGTATTGAAGTAGTTATTCACTGAGTTACTGATTAATTAACTATTGTTCTTATTATTCCTTAGAGTCTGGCAGTTGCTTGGCCATCATACCGTGTATTTCAGACTTTCTGATCTTGGGTCTTGGTGAGAAGAACAAACCCACGTCCCTTTAGACCTTGGAGCGGAATGTTCCCCTGGTGCAATTTAGGACTTTATCAGTGGGGTCCCAGGGTATGAGAGACGTGTTCCTTCTGTTGCATTTTCAACACATTCAGCTGCTCCTCTAATTTCTCTTGTTCAAGGAACGGTTTTTTCACATGGGAGAGAGGAGAAGACGCGACTGAGTGTAAGGGGTGCCCTTGCTACCCATGCTGTCTGTCTCAGGGGGTGCGGTGTCCTCTGCCCCCGCCACGTGCAGTGCACTCCAGAGGTTTCAGGGAAGTCCCTTCCAAGAGGTGTGCGATTTTCTTTGTGAATCCAGGAAATAAAACAGCTCTGGTTAACTTCCACATATCTGTGACAACTTAAAGTTCTTTTATGTTTTTAAAACCATTATCTCATAAAACGTTGAGCATTCCAGAAGAGCTCCACTTCTGTAATACAAAGCAAAGATCACATTGCCCCTGACTGGGCCTGGCAAGTCAGCAAACAGCACAGATAAAAGGCAGAGATAGTAGCAGAGCCCAGGGGCCGGAACAGCAAATACGCCCGGAGTTGGTGCGGGCACCCTGGGACGTGCCCTCAGGACCTCTGGATGCGGGTTTCCACCCTGCGGCCATGAACAGCTCCGCCCCTGTCGTGGTCAGACGCGGAGCACACACCCAGAGCCTCTCTGTGAGCACACAGCCAGGGCAGCTCTGCAGAAACAAGCACAGAGGGCCCAGGAAGCTGCCTCTGCCACTCTATACCGAGTAGAGAGAAGGCCCGGCAGTCAGGCCATGCTCTAACCCCAGCACTACGGGAAACTGAGGCAGTAGTATCACAAGTTTGAGCCCAGCTTGGACAATTTAGAAAGACCTTGTCTGAAAGAAAAAGGGTGACCATAGATGTAGCTCAGTACATCTCAGTTCATCTCTCGAATACCAAGGGGGAAAAAGTGAGCTTGGCTTGTGAACGTGTGCATGAGCCGCACCTGACTGGCCTCCAGTCTCCTCCATACACACCCCTGCTGCCTGTGAGCCGCACGGCAGCCCGTGGCTTTCTGGCACCCTTGAGACGGCCACTTTCTTGCTACTCCTGGCCTGCACTGGCTGGCTGTGCCTTAGAAAAGCAATCTCCCCAAATCTCCCCTGAACTCCTCCTGTCCCTCTCACCATGACCTTCTCAAAATGTCCTCCCTGGACCTCCTGCTCCTCCTTGGCCTACCCAGAGCCTGGTAAGCCCCCCTCTGCCTCAGTTCATCTTCATGCCCATCGCTATGCCACACGACATTCTCTCCTGTCTCCCTCTCATCTTTCACTGGCTCCTAAACTTGGTGACAGCAGGGATCTCACCTCCCTGTTCCACTGTATCCTTAGCGTCTAGATGAGGTCCACAGCAGCCTCCGTAAGTGTTCCTTGCGTGAATTACTGAAACCACACTTCATTCCGGAGAAGCAAGGATGTCTTGTTTGTGTCAGCATCCTGTTCAAGAGACTGTATCATATGCTTCATTAATTTCTCCTTGTTTACTTTGTTACAGTGGGCTGTGTCATCCAAATGGTTTGCATTCCTAAGTGTTCAGATTTCTCCTTTATGGTTTCTCACTTCCATGACATGATTAGAAAATCTTTCTACATCAAAATTATAAAAATATCCACCCACATTTTTTTCTCGTGATTTTATGTGTTTGCGTACATTTCATTATTTGATCCATCCTGAAGCTATTTTGGAAAAAGATTCATGGTAAAAATCCAAGTTAAATTGTATTCAAACTGCTAGCAATTGTTCCAAAACCATTTATTGAAGTTTAGCATTTCTCTACTGATTTGAAGTGACATCTTAATCATATGTTAAATTCTCTATACACATTCATCTTTCTCAGGACTGTTCTCTGTCCCAGTGATTTGCTGGGCTGGTTCTGCCCAGAGCCAAGACATTTCAGTTTTTACAGCTTTCTAACAGCACACCCTCTTATCTGGAAGCACAGGAGTCTTTTCCTTCAACACCAGCCATTTTTTAAGCGCATTTGCCTCCTCAGATTAACTTTAAAATTATTTTTTAGTTAAGGAAAACCTAAGGTTTGTCTTATTCTTTTCCTTGTCGCTGAGACACATAGCTTTGAATTAAAGGAGGAGAGGTTTTCTTTGGCTCACAGTCTGTAGAGGTTTCAGTTCATAGTCCAGTGGCTCTAAGGAAGGACAGCATGGCAGAGGGGCAGAAGAGAGCTACTCACATTATGGCAGACAGAAGCCAAGAGCCAGCAGAGGAGCCACAGAGGGAGATAAACCCTTCCGGGGCAGGCCCTTAGGGACCCACATTCTCTGACCAGGCTTCACCCCCAACATCATATTTAGGTATAAATTTATTAGTTATAAAATAATCCACTGGCTAATATCACATACCATGATCCAGTCCCCTCCCCAAAGCCCCGAAGTCCCAAAGCATGAGGCTGTGGGGGATATCTGGACATACACCGTAGCAAGGTTTCTTGGGGCTGTCTTAGGAATGTGCTATTATATATTATGTTTACTCCTCTGGAATCTGGTATGTTTCTTGACTTACTGAAATCTTTAATGTTCTTAGTACTTTGTTTTCATTTTCTCTTGGTACTTGATGATCGCTGGCAAACATATTTTATCTATTTCCGTGTTTCCTGTGGTTTGCTGTAATGTGTCTCTCCATCCCACCCATTTTTCTTGGGTGGGTTGGCTGGGTTGAGAGTCATAGACTATGTTCTGAGGGTGTGGAGAGACTTCCTGTGTGAAAGAATTTCCAGAATCTTCTATAATTGTCAAAGATTTGGAAAACAGAGGCAAGTTTGCCAGTTCTTTGCACTTGGGTCAAACAGTAACCCACAAAGGGCCATGAGTTGACCTTTGTCTGCCACCCCGAGTTAGCTAAGGTAAGACAAACATCCACATTTTGTTTGTTTATTTGGCTGGTTGATTTTCTTGAAACAAGTCCCTACTATGAGACTAGCTATCTTTGAACTCACTATATGTGCCAATCTGAACTCTCAATTTTCCTGCCTTGGTGTCTTGAGTGCTGGGACTACAGGTGTGCATCACCATGCCTGTCTGTATCAGTGAGCATTTTACTAAAGAAACAGATATAACCCAAGATACTCAAATATGTAAGAACTTATAGGATAGGCTTACAATGGTTAGCCATAGTCGGATAAGGAAACATGCAGAGGGTGTGTGCACACTGGAGACTGAAGGGTCCAGTCCAAGGTCTGGAATTCACTGCAGTGTCTTGTGGACATCCATATCAGGAGGCTGATGGGTCTTCACTGGTAGGCTGACATATCCAAGGTGGAACTTGAAGAGTCTGTGCTAGAAGCCAGGAGATGACTTCCAAGCTAAAGGCAAAGACCGGAGCTACTCTGAAGAACAGAAGCGAGTCCATCCTTCTTCATTTCCCCTTTAAACTGCTCAAGTGACAAGCTGCCCTGGGGAGGGAGGTGGTCCTCTACCCCTGAGGGTGTAGAATTGCTGAGCCAATTTAGTTCAGCTTCTAAACTTCTCAAGTTGACATAGTCAGCCATTACACTGGCCGAACTTCCATTCTGAACTCAACTTTCAGATCCACCAAAGGCTGGCTGAAGGCTGCAGGTGAGGTTGGCACATCACTGAAAACTGATATTTCAGTGCAAACAAGGACAAACAAAAGGATAAACAAAAGTAGGTAAGATCGTTTTCTGTGGACAAGAGGTCAGGGTACATCGTACCAGTGTGACTTTTAGGCCAGATGTTTCATCTGTCTGTCTCTAAGTGGCTTCATTTGTCAAAGGGATGGGCAATAACTGTCCCTCCTGCATGGTTTGTGGGAAAGGTTAAAAGAGAAAATCTCTGTACAAGCTTAGGACAATGTTATCATTTAGATGTAAAATGTCTCCCCTAAATTATGCTCTGTTCAGAGGGGGGCTTTTGGCAGGTGATCGGACTGTGGGGCACTGTGCTCATTCGTGGGCTCACTGATGAGCTCCTGGCTGGACGTCCTGCCAGGAGTCAGGGACTCTCAGAAGAGGTCGGTCACTGGGGTGTGATCCAGAGGCAGGCTCTCTTGTCCCTGACTCCTCCCTTCTCTCTCTGCTTCCTCAGTGCCATGGGTTGAGTGGTTTTCCTCCTCCACACCCTTCCACCACCAATTTCTGCCTTGGAGCCAGCCAACCATGCACTGAACCCTCTGTCAACCATGAGTCAAAGCAAACCTCACCTCCTTTGAGTTGGAGATGTTGGGTATTTTGTCCAGTGGCAGGAAAGTGACTAATAGAAACAGCCTCTCATTTAAATCACCATTTGACACACTCATGTTGAGCCTCTGTATTGGCCTAGGGGAGTCCTGGGCTCTTCAGGTCCAGAGCTGACCTCCTGCATCTTCCAGAGTTTCGTCCTGTGAGCACCCTGCAGTGTACTTGTCAAGGGAGACTTCCATCCCCACCCCACAGCAGAATTCACACAACCAGCCGCATTTACCCAGGGCGTGTCTATGTCTGCTTTGTAAGTTTTTGTCTTCTTTTTGGTCTTCACTGTCTACAGTCCTCCCAGATGTGACTCACAGCCCACCCCCTTGGGCTCTTATGTTTCCATGCTCACTAGCATCATACTCACCACGTCATGGCTGCTGTGATCCTTTTGCCTTCTGTGGGAGCCTTAAGTAATGAGGTCCCATCTGCTCTTCCTTCCACAATCCTGTGTGCATCCCCTTCTCTCTCTTTCCATTGCTTCTTCTTTCGACCTGACCTTTATTTCCTTCCGGGATTATTGTAGGTGACTACTCTGTAGCTCCAGTGCATGCCCCCGTGACCCTCAGTCCACCCGCTTGGAATGATCTGCAGAGTGACCCATGACGCACGCATGCCTCATCCTGCTGGTCAAAGTACACAGTCCTCCTGGTAAGCTTAAGGCAGGGATGACTTTGTCCCTTCTTGCCAGTCCAGGCTGCCCTGAACCCACACTGCACCTGACACAGCAGCTCCTGCACCAGATCCTCTGCAGAGAACACCCCCAAGTGGTCTTTGTGAAAGCTGACTTGGTAGCAGTACTCTCCTGCAGTAGAGATTTTAAAACCAAAGACCAGACTGAGTAACTCTTCAGGAATACACAGGTATTAAGGAGCAGGATGAGGATTTGAGCCTCAGTTCAAAAGTTTCTAGTTCAAAAGGCGGCACTATTTCCCCGCAAGGTGGGGCTTCATGGACTTCCTCCCTCGCCCTGCTGCTGCTGGGCTCTAGCACGTGCTGCTCCTGCAGTTCTGCATGTGCTCTTGATTCATGTGGACTTCTCTCATGATGGTGGAAGGAGTTACAGCCTTGCAGCATGTCTCTCCAGGCCTCTTGGCCCTCCCTTTAAAGCCCATCTTCCTCCAGAAAGCTTCAGCTCTGTCCTGACACCAGACAACAGCGTGATGGTCCAGGGCTCGATTCTGTCTCCTTCTGCCTCCTGCTGGGACAGGACCCAGCCTCTGCGCTTGACACTCGAGATGCTTAATCATTAACGCGTCCACCCTTTCCTGTATTCAGCAAGCAGTTATTAAATGAGTCAGGAAAACGCCCTGTCTTCATGGAGCCCGTGGTGGGGGAACCAAAGGCTCACAAGGTGCCGTGTGTATTCCTGCTCCTCGCTGTGTGCCCGCTGTGCTTGGGGCACCGCCTCAGCTGCTGGCATAAAGCGGTGGGCAGGGCAGCCTCCGTCCTTGGAAGACTCCGCTCTGGCTGGAGCGGGGAGGCAGACACATAGGTGTGACCATGCCAGATGGCGAGAAGAGTGACAGAAGCCAACATAAAGGTCAAGTGGGTGAGGAATGCGGACCTGGAGGTGGATGGAGGTTATTGTATAACAAACGGATTTTAATCACTGGCCTGAAGGAGGCGCAGGCTCTCGGAGTGGCACAAAGCTCTGCTGGCTACGCCCCACACCCTCGGTCGTCCCCAGGGTCTCCCCAGGGGAGAGAAGGGCAGAGAGAGGGGCATCTGGCAGCTGGTAGCACCCTAAACAGGGGCTCTGGGTGAGGGGATCTGAGGAAGCAGATGTGCTGATACCCCTTCTCTCCCTCCCTCCTGGTCCCCCAGTTGCCCTAGAGCCTGGGCGGAGGTGGGTGTGGACAGGGAAGGCTGTGAAGGAGGCCTCAGCCACTTTGTGGGCCGATGGCTATGTGTGGCTATGACCCCACCATCTGCAGGGTCACTGTCCACTGTGGGGACATCACTAAGTGACTTGTGTGTCCTTGCACCTACTTCTCAGCCACCTCCTGTTCCTAATGATGTTTCCAGGGAAGACTGTAAGATGAAATGCAACTTCCTCCCAGCAGTTTAATTACGGAACTCGAGTGGGAGCTCCACACCCTTCCCAACACTAATGGTGACTTTAGCCATAACCTGCTGAGGCTGGGGGACAGACCCACCCTAGAAAATCCACCATTTGAACTTGTACCCCATTTCCTATCTGATTAAAATAGGAAACTTCACTGTTCCTTAGGGAAGTCATGTCCACTTGTGCTTATGCCCTTTTGGTCTAGTCAGCAGGTCTCAGCGGAGCTCATTAACCCCATGAAATGCCGAAGATGCACGAATGCCTGTCCTGCGCTCCGCGGTTACACACGCGGGTATCACCACGCGCACGGTGCGGTGTGGCTGTCGCCAGCTCGTCTTCAGCCCTCTCCACCTTGCAGAGTGAAAGCTGCACCCGCTAAGCCTCATCCCCTTCCTCGTTCCCCTCAGCCCCTGGGGCCACCGTGCTCTGGCTATCTCTTCAGAGCTCCTCTGAGGGCAATGGCCCTGTGATGCCTTGGGGCTTGTTTTTGTCACTTAACCCTGCCCTCCAGGTCCCTCCATGGTGTAGCCTGGGCCGGAATCCCAATCTAAGTAGGGTGAACAGTGTCCCTTGTGAGGCTGTGACCTCTCACCTTGCCCTCTCAGCTGTGGGTCAACCCCAGGGGGCTTCCTCCCTTGGCTCTGTGAACAACGCCCTATCAATGCTGTGTACAGGCGTTCCGGGAGTCTCTGCTCAGATCTTCTTCGCACAGATAGGTGTCTAAACAGTTTCTTTAAAAGATGCCGTGGATTATGAGAAGATGCCAAGATATGAGGGTGGCACAGGGCACCAGTACTGGCTGGCGGTGAGGAGCTTCACCAGGGTGCTTCCTGGGGAGAAGACATTGAGACTAGGCTGAGACTTCACCAGTGTGGAGGGGGAGGCTGAGCCGGCTGGAGTCCGCAGAGACAGAGGTGAGCAGGACACACAGCTCGGAGCACACGGAGATCCCGAGTGAGCACAGGTAGGATGGAGGGCGGGAAGAGGCTCCGACTCCTCAGCACCTGGGGCTGTGGCTTTCGGGAAAGGAGGAGGCTACCAGGCGAAGAAGCGTTGGTTTGCCAGGCTGTTTTCAGTGCATTTCCTGGACATTTAACCAAACCTCTTTTCGAAGTGGCTTTGTCTCCCCTCGCCTGGGGCAGCTCAGGGAAGCCCTCGACTGACGCTGGAAGTGAAGCGGGAGGAGTGGGCAGGCTCTGGGAAGCAGGGTGGCGGCCGGGTGAGCAGCTGTCCCCAAGGGACCTCTCCATGGAGGGCGTATGGTGGCGTCACTGTGAGGACTGCCTGAGGACCTGGGGCCTCTTAGACTTCCTGTATGGCTTTGGGAAAGCACCCTGTGTCCTGGGGGGCGGGGGACGCTGGGCCACTTAGCGCACACTCACACTACCTCCCTGTCTGCTCATAGTTCGGTTCACGTCCAGCCCAACCATGTAGCCAGCTGCTACACCTGGGAATCCATAGAACTTCCCTTGGGAGAAAAATAAGCAACAACTGGCTTGTCTTATCACAAAGCTCAAGGCTGTGGGTGTCTTCACAGGGCAGTCCAGACATTCTGAATTGGGGGTATTACGGTTTTTGTGCAGATGGCCCTGCGGCCTCAGAGGCAGGACCTTTGGAGGTGACTGGATGATGGGGCTTATCCCTGACTCACTGTTAGGAGGTGGGGTGTGGGAGGGATGGCAGGTCTCGTGGGTGTGGCCTGAGAGGGTTTGTCTCCTTTTTTTTTTTTTTTTTTTGATACAGGGTCTTTCTGTGTAGTCCAATCTGGCCTTCAACTCACTACATAGCCCAAGCTGATCTCAAACTTGTGGCAGTCCTCCTGCCTCAGCCTCCTGAGCCCTGGGATGACAGGCATGTGCCATCACACCCGGTGTTGTCACCCTTCTAGTCTCCTTGGACTTTGCTTCTTACCCTCCATGCTGTGAGCCATGGCCCCTCTGCCACGCCCTCTGCTATGCCCTCTGCCATGCCTGCTGCCATGCCCTCTCCCGTTCCTTCTGGCCTTGGAACAAGCTGACCACAAGAGGACTAAAACTTCTACAAACTGTGAGCCAAAGCCAACCTGTCCTTAAAGTTGTATCAGGTATTTTATCCAGAAAGAAAAAGTGAGAAAAGTAAGACAGCAGAAACTGTCTCGTTCTTTGGCCCCAGTTCATACACCTATGGGCCAACATGTTTTGAGAATCATTAGCCTGCATCCTTAAGGCCTACCTTCTCAGTGACCAAGCAGGATGCCCCTTGGCCACGGCCACCAAACAACTCTGAGGCAAACTCCGAGGCACCTCAGAGGACCATGGCTGGTCCTGTGTCCTTTCTGCACAGGTCTGAGCTCTCACTAACTGCCCTGCTTTACTCACGGCACTCCCCAAGGACCGGAGACAGACCGGGCCAGAGGGTTAAGCAGCCCTTACCAGCTCTGGCACTCACTGGGCAGTGTGAGCACTTCCCTAAATGTTCAGGGCTTTTCTCTTTGACTAAAAGTGGAACTCGTAGCTGGACTCAGAATGTTAATAGAGTGTGAATTATAAGGGAAGTTGATGTTTTGGAGATTACAAAGGAAGAGCGCGAGCAGGCTGTCTAAAATATCGCAAGAATCACAACTGTTGTGTTACCAGCACCTCCCGTTATTGATGGGCAAACCTGAATCCTGTTTGAGGCTGGGCTCTCTGAGGAGTCAGTTACAGTGTGAGATTTATGACCCACCAATTGGGCACACACTCTCTGGGGGATGATAAGCTTAGGTCTGCCATAACGTATGCAAGTGTGTGTGTTATAAATGTGCACCATCCACACACCCACACACTCAATATCTCTTAATCAATTAACCACTGGGTCAAGCTAGTCAAATTAAAAGGCAAGCAGGCTGTAAGCAGCAGCAGCCATTTGGGTCTGCGTGCCCTTGCCCCGGGAAAGGGATTTACAGCCAATGTGGGTGCATTAAAATAATCAGGCACTGTCCGCCTCAGGGAATTTGCAGTAGCCTTGTAAAGGGAAGGCAAGAAGCACCAGAAAGGTTTTTAAAATGCGTTTGTGGCTCTGTTCCTTTTAACCATTACCTGGTAAAATTTCCTTCTTTAGAAACATCATCAAACTGTACGTCCTAGAAATAAGCCCTGTCCCTGCTGGGTGGGAAGGGATTCTGTGATAATCCTGATAATTCATGCAAGTGGGAATGTGAATTAAGCTCGGCTACCACAAATGATCCAGACACATGCAAGATGAGGCAAAGAACGGCTCTGCTTTCTGCGTCAGTGTGCAGCTGGGGAGCCAGGGGAGGGAGACGTGCAGAGCGGAGTCCCTGGGAATCTTAGACAGGCCATCCAGAGCAACGCTGTCGAGGCAGGAGATAGCTAAGGAAAGAGCTGAAATGAGAAGAGAGGTCGCCTGTTTTGAAGCCTGCTTTCTGGGACTGGATCCACGTTCTGAGTTAAATGTTAGCCCGGGGCCAGGATGTCAGGGCTAAACATGGTGGGAGAGGTCACCAGGTGACTTCGCTTCTGGACAGTGAGTCCCAGTCAGGCACCCATCGTTCTCCAGGTCTTGGTGACCTCAGCAATAAGCAGCATGTCACTGACTATGCAGATTTGACCCTGTGGGCTTTGGACACCATGACAGTTTCTCTAAGAGCCATAAAAGGTCAAAAATGGCCCCATGGAGGGGCCAAATCAAGCCACATGCTGGCAGGAGGCATACCTAAGGCCAAGCCCTCAATGCCACCCCAAACCCTCAGGCTCAAAACCCCAGGCATGGAGCCCGCAGGGCCGAGAGCGCTGCGCTCACTGCCCTCACCCTGGGGAGTACATCTCGTCTTTCCTCTCACGTAAATCACCGATCCCGCTGCTGTTCTGGGGTGTTCTGCTCCATCCTGTGCAGGATATCAAGACCCTGGACCACCAACACAGTCGTAGTGCGCTCCCCTCACTCACCGGGACCCAGACAACTGTCTCTCTCTCAGAGCCTGCATGGAACGGCAGGCGGCCTCTGCCGATGCCCAGACCTTCACAGCCTTACCATTTCCAGGGTGACCCCACAGCACACTGCGCACCTCATCTTCACAAGCATTGAAGGATTTGTGACATTTTAGGAAGGGATGACTTTTGCCTGTGTTGAGGGTCTACCTGACAGCTTTTCTCTAGGCTGCCCTGCCTCCAGCAGCGGCCTCTGGGGTGGCCTGACCTCCCAGTCCAGGGTGGCAGCCTAGAGTCTAGTCCAGCAGGTGGCTGCGTTGACTTAGATTTGGGAGACAGTGGCAGGGAAGGAAGCAGAGGAGAGGAGGAGCCCTCAGGGGCGGCCTTGCCCCCCGAAGGCTGAGGGGCTGAGTGAACAGGAGGTGGGGTGAGCAGAGGCCGGGCTTTGCAGACAGGAGGTGGCATCCAGTCTCAGAGCCACCAGCCAAGGAAACAGGGTCACAGGGCACGAGCCAGGGCAGCTTTGGACACAGCCTGCCTCTGAGTGTGGTCCGAGGGAACGGACTTGCTTGGAGGGCACAGGTAGCCCCTGGTGCCCAGGTCCTGCACTGCCTCTGCGGCTGCCTCCTCCCCACCCTGTCACAGCGTCTGGAGGGAGCCCGCCTGCTCTGGAGCTTGGCCTTGGCATAGGTTGTTTTCCTGCTGAAAATGTTCTTGGCAATCTCCATTGTGTGCGCTTCTCTTAATGTCTCCAGGTCCGGGTCCAGCCGCAAGTGCTTCAGCAAGGCTTTGTTGGGCCGTGCGCCTCCTTCCACCCCGCAGCACCCGCAGCCTCTGCCGCCAGCCTGCTGTCCAGGCTGTCCCCAGATACGGCTTCTCTGGAGCCGCCACCCTTTGGTGGGAAGTCTCTTTCCAGCTATCTGTTGGGTCTCCAGACATTGCCCGCTTGGGACTTGGGATGAAGCAGCTGTTGACTTAGTATGTTTAAATGAATGAAAGAATGAAGGTTGCTGTGGCTCGGGCCTTGAGTCCTGGTCCCCGGGGAGATGCCATGGGGAGGCGGTGGGAACACGAGTGCGTGGGGGCGTGGGGGTTTTCATTTACAGGGACGCACCCCTGAAGGGGCAGTGGCACTCTGCTCTCCTCTCTTTTTACTTCCTGGCTCACTGTGAGGTGAGGGGTTTGGCTTTGCTCTGCTCTGCTGACAGGGTGTGCAGCCTCACCACCGGCCAAACACCAATGGGGTGGTGAGTAGTGGGACCGGAACCTCCACAACTCCCTCTCCTCCCTAAGGCGATCCCTTCAGGGGCTGGTCACAGCTGGGGAAAGCTGATGGACACACAGGCCCGATTCGCTGCAGGAACCCAGGCTCAGCACTCTCGGTTGGTACTAAGCTCCCCAGCGTGGCGGTCACGGAAGCCTCTCTTCTCCTCACCCTCTACTTTGAAATAAACAATGTGCGGTTGTCCAACAACGTGCCACAACTATTTCCCTTTTAACTGAACAACAAAAAGATGAGAAAATCTCAAATCATCTGATTTGGGAGCTGGAGCTCTCTTGCTGTTCCAGGAGGGGCCAGTCCAGCGCTGGAGGCCACCAGGGTGGCAGGGGGAGAGGGACAAGTGGGGACCCCACGGGCGGGCAACTTGGTGGCTCCTCCCTACTGACGGGTCATCGGCCGTGGATGACAGGAGTCAAACAAAGCACTCGTGAAATTGCAGTGCCGCAGAGGGGGTGAGGACCAAGGAACCTCGATCTGCTCTTCCTCTTACTTGATTTTTAAAAGCAGAGAAAGAAAGAAAAAAAAGTAGGGGAAGAAAGCCACGCTCTCCCCAGCTCCCGGGCCGCTGACGTCCTTGGTCTTCGCACACCCGCTGCAGCAGCGCGTCAGGAATGCGTAAGCAGCAGTACTTAATATGCGTGATGCAGTTGTGTGGGGCAGGTTCATGCTATTCGGCTCTCTCCGAGGAGCCTTCCCAGTGAAATGAGATTTTCAATAAAAGGAATCCGCATGGCACATTGTTGAACATTCAAGGCACTCTGTCCTCCCCGGTGGTGCTGGGCTGTGAACACGATCCTATTTGAAAATATGATGTTTAGATACAAATGTAATTTGCCAGAGCAAAATGATTTCTCTTCATGGTCAGTAGGACACATGCATTTTATT